GTTGCCCCCAATGTGCTGATGTCACTGGAAATTATGTCACACACTATACCTGTGTCACTGGAAGTGATGTCACATGCCATGCCTACATCACCAGAAGTAATGTTGCATTCCATGACTGTGTAACCCAGAAGTGATATAGACATGTTGGGGGTGATGCTCTGGTTTTTGGGCAAAACTCTATGGTAAAATCACCCTCAAAAACCAGAGCACTGCTCCCCAACGTCACCAGCATGCCTACATTACTTTTGGATTATGTAGAGACATTGCTCCACATTGCTGTTGGGGGATTGTTGATGAGCAGGAGCCCGCGAAATTGGAGGATCCCCCACCCCCAACTGGGGATTGGTAACCCTATCTGGAGCTGAGCTTGTGTGATTTTCTCAGTGCCCAGAATGTCTAGGTATTTCTTGAGACTTCTAGGCACTGCACCAAGGGCTCCAATGAAAACTGGCACAATGGTAACCTTCTTCTCCCAGAGGTGCTCTAACTCTATTCATAGTTCTTAGTATTTTGTGATCTTCTCCTGTTCTTTCTTTTCTATTCTGCTGTCTCCTGGGATTGTAATATCAAAGATCTGAACCCTATTTTTCATTTTTTCTACAGTTGTGATATCAGGGGTGTTACGCTCCAAGTGTTTATCTGTTTGTAATTGAAAGTCCCAAAGAATCTTTCAATTACAAACAGATAAACACTGTTTTTGTCCCAAAGAATCTTTGTTTCACCATTCTCAATGATCTTGTCTGGTTTGTGCTCCCATTAAATTCTAGCTGATGGTAAGCCACACTTCTTGCAAAGATTCCAGTGCAATACAACTGCAGCTCTGTCACGACATTCTTTATAGTTTCAGCGATGCAGCTCTGTCACGACATTCTTTATAGTCAGTTTCAGCAATGTTACTACAGGCACTGACCATGTGGTCGACTGTTCCATCCTTTCTCTTGCAAAGCCGTTTGCTGTCATCACGGTCTTCTGAAACTTGGCTTTAATGCTATTTGTTTCGAGTGCCTGTTCTTGTATTATTGTTGTTGTTGTCACTATTGTTGTTGTTGCTGTTTCCTGCCCTTGCAAGAGGCTCAGAAAGTTTTCCATCATCCTCATGGGGCCTTGAGTTCTTCTAGAATTACAGCAGACCCCCCCAGCCTACAAAGATCAGTTCCTCTAGGGGAAATGGCAGATTTGGATGGTCAGCTTCATGAAATTACATCCCTGCTGAAATCCCTCCTCTCCCTAGATGCCACCATCCCCAGACTCTGTCCCCAACTCTCCAGAAATTTCCCAAACCAGAGCTGCAGTACTGCTACAATATTGCTTAGTTGGCCATGTTCTGTCTGGAATCTGGGCGTTCTACTAAGTAGCTGTTTGGCTCATTATCTAGCCACAATTTCCAGCTTTCTTTTTTTTTTAAAGCTAATATCTAGGCCTTCTAGATATTGAGATAAAAAGCAATATATGAAGACAATTTTCTGCCTAATTTATACAATGGAAATGGGATGTATGGTTTCCCATTGTTGTAGCCAATGAGTAAAGTCAAATTTGTGATTGACATGGCTAGGAGGCTCAAGGGAATGCTTTGGTTCCCTATTGTCAGGAGTCCCCCCCCCCCCCCGGGTTTGCCGTCTTAGTTCAGGGCCTGCAGCAGCAATTTAGCTTATAAACAAATCTAAATAAAAAGTCTGTGATCATTTTTTTGTTTTTGTTCTGTAAACACAACTCAGCTTCATTTTTCTTCTTCTTTTAAGACAAAGTTTGGGTATACTCTGAATACTCACAAAACATTTGAAATCCAGATCAACCTTTCTGTATAGCAGGATCATCTTCCTTCTATTTGTATTTTAAATAAAGAGCATTATTCCTATTACAATTATCTTCCATTCAGGTTCTGCAAACTTCAAGGTGGGGATAGAACAGCAGTATAACCTGCTTTTGGCAGGGAGTCTGTGACAGCACTTGTTGAAGATTAGTTAACTGAGATTGTGGGCTGATATTTAAATCTTGAGTCTTGTAGTCATCTTCTTTATGTTTGGGCAGATGACTTGACTCAATATTATAGTGTGTTGGGACACATTCAAGATGTTTAAGGCTACAGTGTTTTGCATGGTTCTTTGAGAACTGGTGGTTCCTTTCAAATGGATAGGATTCACTTCTGAGCTAAGGTACGATTCATGCTTTATTGCCAGTAAGTTTAATGGAAACCAATGAAACCACACTTTAGAGGCTTGGAGCCACCAGAGTATTTTCATGGATGGAAGGATTTCTTCCCATGGAGTGTGACCTTCTTGCCTCTCTCCTCCTGGCAATGTCACCCAAAATACTGCTCCTTGGGGACAGGGGATTTCCAGGAGCAGTATTTTGGGCTGCAGCAGGAGGGGGTAGGCAGACAGGTCACAGTCCATGTATCCAAGCCTGAGTTAATAGAAATGGAAAGTCTTCATAGTCAGATGAGAAGAGTAAGAGTCCAGTGGCACCTTAAAGACTAAAAAAAAAGCATGAGCTTTTGTGAGTCACTGCTCACGTCTTCAGATACAGGTAGAATGTGAGTCCGTCTGTCCTATATATTGGGAAGTTGAGAGATTTCAGATGCCAAATGAGGGCATGATTAGATTAGGTGTGATATGCAGAGAGGCATGGGGAAATCAGGATTGTTAAAGAGACAGGAAACCTAGGTCTCTATTCAATCCAGGTGGATGCATTGTCTTGAGCTTCATTATGAGTTGCAATTCAGAATGATACCCAGGGACAGCTTGCTACAAGAATGATATCCAGGGACAGCTTGCTACCAGACAAACCCAAAGAAAATGACAACAGGACACCACTGGTGGTCACCTACAGCTCACAACTCAAGCCAGTTCAACACATTATTATTGACCTGCAACCCATGCTGGATAGTGACACTTCCCTCACACAGGCACTTGGGGGTTCAGCCCTTTCTTGCTTACAGACAGCCTGCTAACCTAAAACAGCTTCTCACCCACAATGACAAAATACTTAACAGTAACATGGACTCTGATACCAAGGCCTGCAACAAACCAAAATGCCAACTTTGCTGTCATATAGATCCTAGCAACACCATCACTGAACCCAGCAATATCAACCATACTATCTCAGGTTCCTACTCCTGCTCATCCTCTAATGTGATTTATGCCATCACATGTCAGCAATACTCTTCTACTCTCTACATTGGACAAACAGGCCAGTCCCTTCAACAAAGAATTAATGGACATAAGTCTGACATCAGAAACCACAACTTTCAAAAACCAGTGGGGGGACAATTTAACCTTCCGGGACATTCAGTTGCTGACCTAAAAGTAGTAGTTATCTTACAAAGGAATTTCAAAGGGAGATTAGAAAGAGAGACTACTGAATTGCAAGTGATAATAAAGCTCAAGACAATGCACCCACCTGGACTGAATAGAGACCTAGGTTTCCTGTCTCATTACCAATCCTGATTTCCCCACGCCTACTACCTCTCTGCATATCACACCTAATCCAATCACACTTTCTATTGTCATTTGCCTACTAATGTAATTTGGCATCTGAAATCCCTCTACTTCCCAGTATATAGGACAGATGGACTCACATTCTACCTGTATCTGAAGAAGTGAACAGTGACTTACTTACATGCCCTGGCACAAATTTTGTTAGGCTTTCAGGTGCTACTGGACTCTTACTTGGCTCATCTGACTATGAAGACTTTCCATTTCTATTAACTCAGGCTTGGATATATGGACTGTGACCTGTCTGCCTACCCCTTCCTGCTGCAGCCCAAAATACTGCTCCTGGAAATCCCCTGTCCCCAAGGAGCAGTATTTTGGGTGACATTGCCAGGAGGAGAGAGGCGAGAAGGTCACACTCCATGGGAAGAAATCCTTCCATCCATGGAAATACTTTGGTGGCTCCAAGCCTCTAAAGTGTGGTTTCATTGGTTTCCATTAAACTTACTGGCAATAAAGCATGAATCGTACCTTAGCTCAGAAGTGAATCCTATCCATTTGAAAGGAACCACCAGTTCTCAAAGAACCATGCAAAACACTGTAGCCTTAAACATCTTGAATGTGTCCCAACACACTATAATATTGAGTCAAGCCATCTGCCCAAACATAAAGAAGATGACTACAAGACTCAAGATTTAAATATCAGCCCACAATCTCAGTTAACTAATCTTCAACAAGTGCTGTCACAGACTCCCTGCCCAAAGCAGGTTATACTGCTGTTCTATCCCCACCTTGAAGTTTGCAGAACCTGAATGGAAGATAATTGTAATAGGAATAGTGCTCTTTATTTAAAATACAGATAGAAGGAAGATGATCCTGCTATACAGAAAGGTTGATCTGGACTCACAGAGGAGGGAGAGCTTGTACCTGAATAAAACTTGGTTTTAAAGCTGCCACTGGACTGTTTTGGATTGCTATCTGGGGGGGGGGCTCTGCAACTTACCTGGCTGCTTCTTGCTCCTTGTGGCCTGGGGCTGCTGGGAGCAGGGGACGGGGCTTGTTGCATGTGCCCGCCCCCTGGGATCTTTACTCCCGGAGCTCCGCTCCTGTGCACTCCTGCAGGAAATGACCCCTGAGTGTGACTGATATTGGTGACTGATACAGCCTCCAGGTGGGACCTGGGGATCCCAGGCATTACAGCTTTTCTCCAGACTACGGAAATCAGTTCCCCTAAGGAAAATGGCTGCTTTGGAGGGTGGATTGTATGGCATTGTATCCCAGTCCTCCCAAGGTAGGGTTGCCAAGTCACTTACTTTGCACAGTGGGGGAGAGTTGGTCCCTGCCCGGGACATTTGCCCATGTCGCAGTGATGTCACCCAGATCTTCAAATCCTGGATCTGGCAACCCTAACCCTCCATCTCCCACCCATGGGCAGGGGGGGCCTGGCAACCCTAGACTGATATCAATGCTCTCTCTGTGCTCTTAAAAAGTGGAGGCTTAGGTCACACTCTGTGATTTCATTTGTTTTTATGCCTTCTAAAAAGCCTGTTTTCTGGTCTCTCTCTTTAGGTGTGCTTTCTCTGCCCGCATACTTCAGTCCTTACAATGATGGATCCATGGGCAGCAATGGACGGGCTGATGCTTATGCCCAGCTAGAGCTTCGAACACTAGAGCAGTCTCTCCTGGCAACGTGTGTTGGAAGCATCTCTGAACTGAGTGAGTTTCATATGCAACTCATAACTTGTTTGGTTTGTTTACGCAAAATATGGGGCCTCTTCTTACTGAAATCAATGGAAATCCTGCTGTTGGCTTTGCTATTGTTTTGTTTGGGCCCCTATTGTGCAAGATATAAATGTTTCAGGATGCTAGAAATTATGTCACACTGAGCAAAGGCACTCTCATGATGCACAAAAATGTGCTCTCTTCAGTCATGTTGCTTCCATTTTAGTAAATACAGGGCTGTGTCTGTACTTAAATCAGCAGCCTCTTGGCTGCATTCATTAGGCCAGCTATAGATTGTGGTCCACTGAAAGCCTGATAAATGACCCCCACACACACACCTGGATCTGCTAAAAAAACAAAAGAGAGAAGGATTTATCAAGCAGCTGGCTACTGAGCCACAGTCTTTGACTGGCATGCCCTGATGCTGTGAATTTGACAATCCTGAATTAAATGATTCTGTGACATTCACGTTTGCAGTGACTGAATGCCACAAACAGTCAGTTCTCCACTCCAGCATCCAATTTTACCTTCTCACTTTTATTTTACAAAAAAAGTCAATTTCCCCGAACTTCTGTCTTTAGGAAAAGGGGTGGGAAGGAAAACCATGAGAACACTTATGTTCATATTACATTTGGAAAGCCCATTTCTGTTTGGATTAATGCAAGCTATGTGTGGAGCCTGCACCACTCAACAATGCCCCTTTAAGTTCTGCTTTGCTGGCCTGCTTCTTCCTGAAAAACATTCTTGTTGGCGTTTCTCTCTGAGTGCCTTACCATAGGAACACTGCTGTCAGAAGCCAATACATACCTTAAAGGTCTCACCATTTATTTCGTAACCCGCCTTAATTTGAGGTTTCTCAGGGAAAAAAAGGGTTTCTAACATACCTCTGTATATTCGGCAACACAAGAGAGCATTTATAGCAGAAATCCATGATTGAATGCAACTTCCTTTCCCTTACTTTCTGATTTGGCTGGCTCAGTGACTGCATTTAATGAATGGATTGCCTTATGTGTTCCCTTACAGGCATGGAAAAAAGAAACATGGCCATAAGTTGCCAGTGTAGTAAAGAAGGAATAGAGGGTATAGGAAGTGAGTGTTATTCTGTGCTGCAAATTTGAATTCCAGATGTACCTCTGGATTTAATCATGTGGTATTGTGGATTAGCACCCACAGCAGATGAGTCACAGGATACCATTTCTCCCCCCCAAAAAAACCCTGTGTGATAGCCACACTCAAGAGCTGAGAACAGGCAGCCCAGTCCTGTGCATGTTTACTCAGAAGTAGCAGCAGCAGTTTCAGTTTATTGTATTGACCATGGGTCATAACAATATATAACATAATCTTCCGCATACTAAAACTACAAAGTTAGCAAAATTAACAAAATTAATTAACAAAAGTACAAATATAATAAAGGACTAAACCATATCAAATCAGCCCAGTTTGATAAGTTCAAAACAGTTTTAACTCTTATTATAGCTATTATTCCATACAGCTCGGTCTAATCCTTTTTGCCGCGAATGAAAACAAAGTGACTATTAGAAACATACGAATCCTCATCTGCAAGCAGAAGTATGACTTTTTCCAAGTCTGAAGCTCCTTCCCACATGGATAGAATATTAGTAATAAATTTGTTTTGGGGGTCATGGTGAAGGGGACGTCTCAGAAGTCAGTCTAGTTGTGTTGGCGCTTGCACTCAAGTAAAGGTGCACAGGATCAGGTTTCCTTCATTCAATGGACGGAAAGAAATCTGCACACTTTTCAGGAACCAGCTTTGAAGTCTGCATTGCTATTTTCATTTTATCCTTTCCCACCATTGTAACCATCAAAGTACAATGGAAGACTATTTCCTGTGAGCCCTTGACCCTAAAAAAAAAAAGGTGATTCCCAGAGAAAAATAGAAATCTGTGGCTATATAAATGTATATGTAAAATTAAGCATTATATTGATTCAGACCACTGAGAAGGCAAAAATCTGACTTCCAGTAACATGCAGCGTTCCCTCTAAGCTGAGTTAGTGTGAGCTAGCTCACAGTTTTTTAACCTCCAGCTCACACATTTTTGCCTTAGCTCAGGGAGGATGGCTCCAGAGCAAATTAATTTATGCAGTAGCCAAATCGCTCGCTCACAACTTTAATGCCAGTAGCTCACAAAGTAGAATTTTTGCTCACAAGACTCCACAGCTTAGAGGGAACATTGGGTATATTTGAGGGATGAAAGATGCTTTAAGTCCCACAGCTTAGAGGGAACATTGGTAACATGTCTGTATATTTGGGGGATGAAAGATGCTTTAAGCCTGCATGACTTGCAGCCTGCTGAGATAAACACAGCTCCTCATCCCAAACTGTATCTTACAAAGTGAGCTTTGACTCTTGGAAGCTTATACCCTGCTAAAGTTTGTCCGTCTTTAAGGTGTTACTGGACTCAGATTTCATCCCAAGCCTTGAGTACCATTGGGCAGGGTCTGATGATCACAGAAGTATGGTCCAGTGATTCCACAGGTACAGCCTGGTGATGTCTCACAAGGGTATTAACAGAAGTACTTCCACGCGCTGTAAGGTGTTGTACCACACAGTGTCTTTGAATGTGTGTGGTCACAATCACATGGCTTTGAAGAAGCGGACTATTCTTCAAGTACAAAAATTTTAAAAAAATAACATGGAAAGGAGCTGTGTACTTAATGTAAAATGTAATTGAACTGCCTCTTTGGCTTATCTTGGACTGTAATAAATGGAATGAATGAATGATTAGCGCCTCCCATTTCCAGTGCATACAAGCAGCAGTTACGGCAAACAGGCATGTACATGAGTTTTAGAAGAAGTCATAAAGTGTGTGCCTAGTTGAGGGCCCTGCAATCTCAGCCTGCTGTCCTGAGAATGAGCACCCAAACCTAACACAAAACTGCACAATAAATCCTTAGTTGACTAAATGATGTATGAAACCACAACCTCATCAATAGCAGTAGTCATGTTTTGCTCATTGATATGAGAGACCTCGGAACAGCTGGAGAAATGACAATGTAGAAGCAGACCTGTGCAGTCCTGAATTCCTTCTTAAAAGGAGCCATCTGAGAACAGCTCAGAATTCAATTAAAATGGGGTCTGGGATGATAGAGTTGCCAACCTCCGGGTGGGGCCTGAATATCTTGCAGCATTACAGCTGATTCAAATCCCCTGGAGAAAATGGCTGCTTTGGAGGATGGACTCTACGGCTTTATACCCCACTGCATCCCTCTCCTCCCAAGGCTCCATCCCCAAATCTCCAGGCATTTCCCACCTCAGCAATACCAGGTGGAAAAGAAGATGACAGGGCCACAGATCAGTGTGGAACTAGGGAATATAAGGGGAGGAGGTAAAAACCGTAATTAATCAGTGCTCTTTGCTGCAACCCTAAAAACAACTTCCTCGGAGTAAACACCATTAAATAAAATTGGACTTACTTTTGAGTTAACCTGCTTATTATTGTTCCCTTAGTTGTTAAAATGGGAGGTTTGTGCACTATACCTTCATGACAACCACTGTCTCTGATTTAAAAATTCATCCCCCAACACCAAGTAAGTAGATATGTTCCTGTGCAGTGCAGGGGAAGAGTTCTACAGATGCCTATGTCAGGTTCCCAGGTAAACACTCTCCACACGTGCTGTAAAAAGTTATAGGTTTTAATGAAATGATAACTGTAGATTCAAGAGCTTTTTGTCAGAACTGAAATTAATTGCTAGACACACTCTAGATCAGAGTTGTCAAATTCATTTGTTTATGAGGGCCGGATCTGACATAAATGAGACCTTGTTGGGCCAGGCCATGTGTGTCATAAAATGTAATGCCAGGTAGCAGAGATATAAATTTTATAAAGGACACAAACACAAAGGGTTTTTTTAACTTAAAATAAAAACATGCTTAAAACATTAACACTCTTGCAATATTTTGGTTATTTAACAGTGTCTGATAACTGACACCTCTTGCTCTGAATTATTGGATCAAAATGTCTGTGCTGTTGCAATCTTGAGTGTGCTGTTCAGGTGTGTATCTGTAAGCTGCAAACCTACAATGACACAGCAGCAGCAGAACTGGAAGGAGCAGCAGAAGACAGCCAGTTCCACTGAGGGCCTGACAGAAGCCCTCCAGGGGCCTGATCCGGCCCCCGGGCTGCATGTTTGACACCCCTGCTCTAGATATAGTAAAAGGCAATACCATTTCATCCGCCCAGTCCCCCTCACGTCATACTCTAACCCCCTTGCATAACCATGGCAACCTGGACAGATATGTGTTGCCCTCTAACCTAGGCAAAGCATAGACATCTTCAGGGTCTTTCATCGTGAGAAGAATGCATGAGATTCTCTTTGGAAAATATTACCGCAGCTACTCCCTAACTTTCACACCACAGTCACTCCCTCCCCCCAGGAATGCAAGATGACAAGCAAAGGTAAAATACAGCTTAGTAAGAGATATGATGGCTAAGCAAGAGATAAACAGGCCGCAAAGGCCAAGTGAGACGTGAGCTCGACAGCCTAGAGTAGTCATATGTCTTGGCATTCGAAATAAAAATTATTCTTGTCTATTTAGATCCTCCTAAATACTTTATTTTTATGTAGTGAGAAGTGGTGGGGGTCAAGACTACCTGGATACTCTGCCTTCTCAGTAGGGTTGCTAACTGTTAACCGCGGAACTCCTCGCGTGAGGGTGATTCCACTAGCCCAGATCTGCTTTATCTACAACAGGGGGCTTTATGCTGAGTCCTTGTGACTAATTGTATTACAGAGGTCAGATTGCAGAAATGAACGCTCCTATTTCCCAGGGATGAGACAACATGCTAGGTTTAATGAACAAATGTTGTCTTTACTGAATAGTTCTCAAGCATACAACAACAGATGCACTCCCACAGTCTCACAAGATTCCTTTAGTTACAACAGTTACTGAAAACAATAAGCATTGGAAATAATAACTTCAACAAACAATGGGGTAACACAGAGGGGTGGCGTTCATACTCATCTGCTCCACACGGAAGGGATTCCTCTCAGTGGAAATCAGGAACGAAAGGTCTCACTAAGGGATCCTTCTCTCACACGGATGGACAAGCCAACCACGTGTGTGTGCTTTCTTGGTGTGCACTTCCAAGAAAGCCCGGGAGGATCACCTGCAGTAGAGCTTAGGTTGCCTAATATGGAAGGAGGGGTTTTGTCTCGCTAGCTTTACTTGCTAGCGGCTTTGCAGCTTAAGTTGCAGAAAGGTGGGGGGGGGATGAGCTAACCCTAACCAGAGAAACAAAGGCTGTGTTTCTCTTTTTAAAACCTTGTTTTGGGGGATTGACTTAAGGCCAATCTACCCCTTAAATCTGTCCCCTTTCTATCCCTATAGGTGGGCAGGTAGTGACGCTATACCTAGAGGGGAGGGGGCGATATTCAGATTCTAGACCTAACTTCAAAGGGGAGCCATGTGGTGATGTGTCAAAGCCATATTCCCATGGTAACCTTTGATTTGCAGATCGATGGCTTGCCCCAAGAAGGCAATAACAGGATGTTTTTCTTGTGATGCAGACCCAAGATAGTTGGAGTTACATGCGATTTCCAAGGTCCTCTAATGGTGGAAAGCTCGTTGTTTTCCAAAGTCTCCAAGCTGAGCTTAATGGCGAAGGTCTTCTTTATGCAGAGGCATGCTGGGAAGGTGTGGGTGCGCACATGTCCATTAGCATATGCAGCACAAAGCTGGCTCCTTGCAGCTTCAGGTGCAACATGAGAGGCAGAGCAGGCAAACCCAAGGCACAGCATTTCCCACAGCCCACATACACACAAGCAAAGACACTTTACAGACATGCAGCATCAGCACAGATAATACATTTAAAACACACATTGTAACATAACCTCCAGGTGGGGCTTGGAGATCTTCCGGTATTACAACTGATCTCCAGAAGACAGACATCAGTTCCCTTGGAGAAAATGGCAGTGTTGGTGTCAGGCCTCTGGGCCTCCATAGGTGACTGGCCCCCAGTAGCCATCCTGATAAGGCTGGGACCGGCCGCCAGAGCCCTGAGATATCCTGTCCTGGTTTGTTCCTGTCTCCCGTCCTGGGCCTTGGGGTCGAGGGTGAGAGGGGTCCAACAGGTAAGGAGGAGTTAAGGCCTCAGAATGACGGGGTCTGCAAGGGGGTTGCCTCACCGCCCTTTCCCGTCCTGGCTTTCTGGCTTCTCAGCTTCTATTCAGCTTCGGGGCTCTTTCTCTCTTTCTCTCTCTTGCCACCACGGTCCCCAGCCAGGCCAGTCATCTTCCTCCCTGGCATTCTCCCCACCTGCCTTTTTATTCCCCGCTAGTTCCCATCCTTCCTCTCCGCCCTTGGCCCCGCCCCCTGTTAAAGCCATGGACGCCCAGGTGGCTCCTGTTGCTTCCCGCCCTGCCTCCAGGAGGCTCTGCGCCAGCCATCCCGCTTGCCTCCAGTCCCTCTGGGTCTCTGCAGCTTGACTTTGCGGGCACTTTCTCTTCTCCGCCTCCAGCCGGCTGTAATTGTTCTGGCCACTCCCTTCACCGCTGGAGCCTGGTTCATCCTACTGCTGTGTTCTGCTGCTGCAGCGGGCCCCGCCCCTTGTCAGCTGCCGGCACGGTGTCGCTGTGCCTCGGTAGGGCTGACGCACTCCCTGGCTCCCTCCAGGCCGTTTCAGGGTTGTCGTCTTCCGCTGCCTCTTCCATTTCAGTGAGTTGGGGCCCGGGGCTTTGCTGCAGGGTTGGGTTGGCGTTGGCAGGGGGTCCTCGTCCCAGGAGCTCCTGGGGAGGACCAGGACAATTGGCCAGTGGACCCTATGGTATTATACCCTGCCAAGGTCCCTTCCCAAACGCTGTCCTCCCCAGGCTCCAACCCCCCAAATCTCCAGGTATTTTCCAACCAAGAGTTGGCAGCGCTACTCCTTAGCCCTTCTGCCTTTTGCAGTGCTGAACTTTGTGCATTTAGTCATGCTGGCCACATGACCATGGAAACATCTTTGGACAGTGCTGGCTCTTTGGCTTGGAAATGGAGATGAGCACCGCCCCCTAGAGTCGGATCCAACTAGCTTTTGAGCAAGGGAAACCTTTACCTTCTACTTTGTTTGCTAGGGTGAGAACTACTGGAGTTTAAGCCTGCCCAAGCATTGTACTTCTTTTAGCCCTAATCCCAGATTTTGGTGGGGAGCCGAGCACAGGATCTTGACAGTGGTTATCCGCTGGTGAATAAAAGACTGAGAGGCACACATTGTTTCACAAAGGCAAGTTGCTGCAAGGTAACTTTAATAATTAATTGCAAAACAGACTGAGTGAAACTGCAGAGGGGTAGCCATTCATTTTCCTGCTCCTGCTCCACCTACTGCTAAAGGAAATTCCCTGCTAAAAACAGAGGAGACAACCCCAAGGCAATATAAATCTCACTCCAATGTTCTGTCCACAGTTCACTGCAGTTAAAGAGGTGAGAAGCAACCAAGCAAAGGACAGTTATGGAACGTAGCAGATAAGAAATAAATTGGTCAGTGAAGAGTTAACTGGCTCAGCTCCAGCCTTTTTGCAGTGTCCTCTCTCTCATTACCTGTTTTTTCACTATAACTCCAGGACAAAAGAGCTAGGGGATTCATTTTTTAAAATGAAAGCTGGAAGATCAGAGAGGGGGCATGACACTGACAAAAAGTGACAGAATCTTGCTAATTCTCATTGTCAAAATGGCGTACCCAACTGACTACCTATAGCAACCACATGAGGAGAATACATGATTGAGAAAAATCTTCCCATGGTGGAAGGTTTCGTATTTATTTATTTAGAAAAATCAATTTGTTGCCTCTCCAGAGACCTGCTTGAAGTGACTCTCAGATTAAAAACAGTACAGTACAACAATAAAAACAAAAAAGTTAAAAAAAAAATGTTTAAGCTGTAAAAACATGCCAGGGGCATAAAAACTGCATAAAACAACATTCAGCAGATTACAAAGAAATACTTTGGCCTACCTAAAAGACAGTAAGGTAGGTGCCAAACAAGCCTCCAGGGGGAGGCCATTCCAAAGGTGAGCCACCACCAAAAATGCCCTATTTTTGGTTACCAACTGACTCTCATCTGCAGGTGGGGCTTCGAGGCCAGGAACTGGAAACTCAATTTTAGTAGTGAAATAGAGGCTTTCCTAATTCCAGTAGAAAGTCTGGTTAATTTTAGATAGCTTGGTCAAAAAACACACACACACAAATATCTTCTTAGGATAATTGGCTTGGATATCAATACAGCTGGTCAATGTTCCCTCTAAGCTGTGGAGTCTCATGAGCAAAAATTCTACTTTGTGAGCTACTGGCATTAAAGTTGTGAGCAAGCAATTTGGCTCCTGCATAAATTAGTTTGCTCTGGAGCCCTCCTTCCTGAGCTGGGACAAAAATGTGTGAGCCAGAGACTAAAAAACTGTGAGCTAGCTCACTCTAACTCAGCTTAGAGGGAACACTGCAGCTGGTTCACCGGATCAGTGATCATTGGGGCAAAAGGCATTCATCAGAATAAAATAAAACTATCCTTGTTTCTTTCTCTGTTTCTTTTCCAGGTGACTTAGTGTCACGAGCAATGCACCATATGCAGTGTTTGAATACCCTCCGCCCGGGCATGAGCCCTGTTCGACAAACCAGGCAGCAGCAGCAACCCATAACCTGGTCTCCCGATGCCCTTCACACCCTTTATTATTTTTTACGCTGCCCTCAAATGGAGTCCATGGAAAACCCCAACTTGGATCCGCCAAGGATGGCCCTAAATAATGAGCGGTAAGTCTGGCAGTTTACAGTCCAAGGATGCCTTTCAGACTGACAGGGCTTCATTGTGTGACATCGTGCGCTTGAAGCTGTGTATTCAGTTCTGCTGAATTCTACGTATCAGCCTTCAGTAATTCCTGTAATGCTGCCAGTTTTCTTTCACAGCTTTGCCAAACTGTTGGAACGAGAACTAGGAAGCAAGTTTTCTTGGTTGTCAACTTTTGCAAGTAAGGCAGATACTATATAATTACTCACAAAGTGTGCTTTTCAGTATAGATTACCAGACGTCCAGGACTGGCAGTAGGGCTTTTCCCTCTTTTAACTGAAAGACTGCCAATTTGCAGCCATAATATCCAGGGATAAAATAGTGTATAGTGTATGTATGTGTGTGTGTGTATATATATGTGTGTGTATATATATAGAGAGAGAGAGGGAGAGAGAGAGAGAGAGAGAGAGAGAGAACAGTCTATCTCAGATTCTCTGTTTCCTAAGAAGAGTACTATTTTTACCTCCAGGTGGCATGTTCTTGGCTCTCCTACCCTCCTTTCCCATGGCACCCTGCTCATCATTTTAAAATCTGCTTCTCCCATACCTTGAAATTCTCTGAGTTTGCTGAAAACGGGCTTGTTCAGAATGTGCCCACTATTTCCCCAAAGAAGAGGGAAGGGGAGCAGAGGCTGGGTTTCCTTTCCTTTCTGCTGATCGGCTGTGAGGCATTAAGAGCTTCCATCATGACATCACCAATGGCACTGGGAACTCTCCCTGTCTCTGCCCATACTTTTTGGCCTTGTTAGACTAGGCCCTTAGCAATTGTGTTGGTCATAAGCAGAGGTCATTTCGGGGGGGATCGCGGGGGGCGGGGCACATGACGAAGCCCCACCCCCTGCTTCTGGCCACCCCGCTTCCGGCCCTCATTCAGCCAGGAGGAGGCAGGAGAAGAGGGAGGAGGCAGGAGAAGAGGGAGGGTAAGTTGCTTCCTCCCTGCCTCTCCCCACCCCTGCCTGCCTGGGGCCAGGGAGGGCCTTTGCGGGGCTTCCTTGCACTCCCGCAGGCCTTGCAGGTCCATCACCGGGCCCCTCATGGGGCTCGGCAGTGGAGCTGCAAGGCCGGCGGTGGCAGCCGGAACCGTTGGGGGCAGGGTGTGTGGCCTTATGACACACCTCCGGTGATGTCAGGGGTTATGGCCTTATGACACACTTCCGGTGATGTCAGGGGGTGTGGCATATGCTAATTAGTTATGCTAATGAGTTCCCCTAGCTCTTTTTCTACGAAACGACCCCTGGTCATAAGGGAAAGATAATATATTTCAGCAAATCCCTGTGCCCTGTGCAGCTTAAAATTTTGGGTGGCGGTATACCTCAATAGTCTCCATAGCAGCATGTGTTTCTTCTTCTTTCTTTTATTTTCTTTTTTTTCCACACCCAGGGCTCTTTTTGTAGAAAAAGCCCAGCAGGAACTCATTAGCATAATAGGCCACACCCAAGAGCAAAACTCATTAGCATATTAGGCCACACCCTGACAGCACCGCTCATTAGCACATTAGGCCACACCCCATGTTACCAGAAGTGTGGTCATCCAGCCACACCCACCTTTCCCTTCTTATTCTGTTTACCTTGTTTGTTGTCAAAACCCAGGACTTTTTTTGTAGCAGGAACTCCTTTGCATGTTAGGCCACACACCCCTAATGTAGCCAATCCTAATGAGTTTCTGCTATTGGGTGTGGCCTATTATGGTAATGAGTTCCTGCTGGGCGTGGCCAACGTGGGAGCCAGCCGGAACTCCGTTCCTGTGCGTTCCTGCCCAAAAATAGCCCTGTCCACACCCATTCTAAAAATGTCTTTGGAGGGGGGGAAATTCTGTTGGAGGAATCCTCTCCCACCTCTCCCACAAGAATGCAGTGACAATATGGCATACCACAGTTGTTTAGCTTTAGGTTGCTGTGGCTAGAAGAAATGGTGGAAATGGTGAAAAATTCATCCCAGGAGTTAAATATCTGCTCACTGGAAACCCTCAACAATATCTCAAAGCAAGCATGACTCTCTAAAGACTTTTTCCAGACTTCATTTTTTTTACAATACAATGGTCATGGTAGAAGAGACCAGAAGAACACTTCTGGGGCTTGAAACTTTGTTCCCTTGCAGCCATAGGGTATAGAGGTCACTAATAGCTTTGCAAGATTGCTTTGTGGGCCAGAATATGCAAGCAGGCACAAATTCTGTGCTTGGATTTTTCTTTTTTCCATGACAGCTCAGCATGATCCTAGCACACTGGCTACTTGTTGTTTTCCCTGTTGGGTACAGTGAGGGCTGTTGATCAGAGTGGGATGTGCATTAAAATACGAGCAATTTTAGTCTTCCCCACAAACTTCTCTCACAGGCATTGGGCCAGAGAGTGGAATGCCAGAATTGCTTTTCAAGCTGTAACTCTGTTTTATTGTTAAATCAATGTTACGTGCCGCAACAACATCAATAATTTCTGTTTGAGACTTAGTTGTACAGGAAATTTAAGGTAATATTTAAAATAAACATGATTCAGTGGAGTATATGTGTGGCATCTTGGGCTACACAAGGGATACTCTGTTTTAAAAGTTTCAGTTCTGTGTGCTATATGCCAAAGAAGAGGAGGAGATACAGAATCCAGACCATCTCTCTACCTAAAAGGTAAAAGGTAAAGGTTCCCTTGCTCGAAAGCCAGTCGAATCCGACTCTAGGGTTGCGGTGCTCATCTCCATTTCAAAGCCGAAGAGCCAGCGCTGTCCGAAGACGTTTCCGTGGTCATGTGGCCGGCATGACTAAACACCAAGGCACACAGAACGCTGTTACCTTCCCACTGAAGTGGTACCTATTTATCTACTTGCAGTTTCTTGCTTTCGAACTGCTAGGTTGGCAGGAGCTGGAACTAGAAACAGGAGCTTACCCTGTCTTGCGGCACCTGGGTCTTGAACTGCTGAACTACTGACCTTCCACAGCCTGCAGTTCAGCGTCTTAACCACTTGAGCCACCGCAGCTCCGATCTACCAAACAGCAAATGGAAAGGATTCCAGTTTTTTAAAGGGCTCCGTACACACAGCCCCTCTCTGGGGAATGTTGTGCATGCTACCCCTTCCCATTCAGCTAAGGATACACATGTGGAACATTCCTTCCATGTACACATACCCCTAGATCAGGACAATTAGGTGTTTCATTGAATACTATGGCAAAATTTCCATTTGTTATAATGGTGACTAAGTGTACCTCATTTTATATAAGTATATGTAGTTGACTGCTACAAAACGCAAGCACAAGATATTCATGGAAGCAGATCTTCCCTATTTTCTCCTTCTCACAGCAGCCCCCTGGAACTCTGAAAAGATGATTTGTTGTTCAGTCGCACAGTCAAGTCCGACTCTTTGCGACCCCATGGACCAGATCACGCCAGGCCTTCCTGTCTTCCGCCGTCCTCTGAAGTTGGCTCAATTTCATGTTCGTTGCATCTATGACACTGTCTAACCATCTCATCCTTTGCTGTCCCCATCTTCTTTGACCTTCAATCTTTCCCAGATGATACTTGGGGTCAGATGAGTATCATGGACAAAATGCCCTCCAGTGGGAGGGAGGCGACAGTGAAAAGGAGAGTATCAGGCATTATTGCTGCCATCTTCCTCTTCTTCAGTCAGAGCAAGCCTTCTGCTCACGTAAGGGGATAGGTTGCCCAGTTCCCCCTCCTCACTGCCCACCTCCCCATAACTTTGGGCATTTAGTCCATGAGGCTTCCTCGGCTCTCAGCATCAGCTTTGCACAGGCCACAAAAGGGACTTCTGTAAGAAGGGAAAGAAAGTCCACCTCCAAGAGCCTCTTCTACTCACAGGCTGAGTGTCCAACCCATTGTTTTTTAGTTGTAAGGAAGAAAGGGAATGTTTTCATCTGCCAGGATAAACAAATGGCAAATATTAAGGCAACCCAAGAGGACCTAAAGAGCCTCTTGCTCAGGGTAAAAGAGGAGAGCGCAAAAGTGGGCTTGAAGCTCAACATCAAAAAAACTAAGATCATGGCATCCGACCCCATCACTCCTTGGCAAATAGAAGGGGAAGTCGTGGAAGTAGTGACAGACTTCACATTCCTGGGATCCCAGATCACCGCAGACTGTGACTGCAGCCATGAAATTAAAAGACGCCTGCTCCTTGGGAGGAAAGCGATGGCGAACCTAAACAGCATGATAAAAAGTAGAGACATCACCCTGCCAACAAAAGTCCGCATGGTCAAAGCAATGGTATTCCCAGTAGTCATGTATGGCTGCGAGAGTTGGACTATAAGGAAGGCCGAGCGCCGAAGAATAGATTCTTTTGAACTATGGTGCTGGAGAAGACTCTTGAGAGTCCCTTGGACTGCAAAAAGATCAAATCAGTCAATCCTAAAAGAAATCAACCCTGACTGTTCCCTGGAAGGCCAGATAATGAAACTGAAGCTCAAATACTTTGGCCACCAAATGAGAAGGGAGCACTCACTGGAGAAGACCCTGATGCTGGGAAAGATCGAAAGTCAAAGAAGACGGGGACGGCAAAAGATGAGATGGTTAGACAGTGTCATCGATGCAACGAACATGAAATTGAGCCAACTTCAGAGGACGGCGGAAGACAGTAGGGCCTGGCGGGAGATGATCCATGGGGTCGCGAAGAGTCGGACTCGACTGTGCGACTGAACAACAACAACAAATGCAACCCATGCTAACAGAAACCCAAAAGTACCCAGAAGCCAAAAACGTCAAAAATTCAATCAGCCCCTGAAAATATTCTAGTGTATATTTTATATCTTGCCATAATGATTTCAATGCCTGTCATTTAACATGAGAGAAACATTGCAGAGTTTCTCAGTCTACAGGATTCAGTTTGTTCATTTCCAGTGAGAGGAAAAAGCAAGTCAAGATTGGCTTTGAGTGTGCTAGGCACACAGTGTGATGCATAGAGGCATTGATTCACTGACTCTGCCCTGGCAAGCCCGGAGAGCCAGCCTTTTTAAGCTGTGCTAGATCAGCTG